CTTTTTGTTTGTTTGTTTGTTTTTTTTAACTAGTGAAAAAGGCCATAGATTTTAAATCTAGAGGATTTAAATTGTTTCCAGGGAAAGACAACAGCAACAAGTTTTCTATCTGTGAGTGTACTCCTTTTTTGTTACTTTTTTCTAGTGCAAGAGTGAAGTTTGTGCTGTCTGTGTTGTTTGTGTGTTTTCAAAATTGTTAATGTATTTCTGATAACTGACTTAAATCTGTTTCTTCAGTCTGCATGGTGAATTTTTAAATATGGTTCTATTCTAAAGTCAGGTTTTCTATAAATCTGGCATTGTGGAATGATATCTTATTTTGTCAGTAATTTTGCATTAAATTTGCTATATTTACAAAAAAATAAATATTCAGTCTCCCAGGTATCAGCTGAAATCTTAGCCGTAAACAGGATATATATTATTTTAATTAAAAATTTCTACTAGCAGCAAAAGGCTATACAACCCAAAGCTTATCCTCATTTACAAATGTGCAAGCACGTATTTTTTTCAAGTGACACTTGAGGTTAATTTCTGAATCTTTTTTTCATCATTAGCTTCAACATTTTGAACTGATTAACTAACTGTACTTTTAAGAATTCTGGAGATGCTTAGCGTCTTCAATTTTAATTAAAGAAAATAGAAATTGAAAGTGGTCAGCATCTTACAGGAATGGGTCTTGATTAACTCAGAAGGAGTCAGGCAACTTTCTAACCTAAATTAAATGGGTATGGCTCTAAATACATTGAAGAGAATATATTTTGCAAAAGAACGTGCCATTTTTATAGAGTTCCTTTTTGGACTAGAACCGCATTTTAAATATTTAGAAGTAATTGTTTAAAATAAAGATGGTCTAACTGCATAGCCTATGTCTGCTTATATTACATTTCATTATTCTTCACAGGAGTGGAAGGACTTGTTTTTGAAGCTCCTTAGGTTGGACACATTTGCACTAATTTTTTTGTTTAAAGTGTCAGTGATGGATTCAGTTTCCAGGATTTTGCAGGCACAGTGGCATAACTTTTAATGCATTTTTCAGTTTTAGATATTAAACTGTCAACATATTAGATGGGATTTCTTTATAAAAAGGTGTCTTCAAGCAGCAAGACTCTAACATTTACCAAGTGAGAAAAATAAAGCAAAACACACTTCAGTTTTTATAATGCAGCGTACTTCCATATTCAACTTCTGTGTGAACTGCATCACCTACATAGTTCTGTAAGACATTTCTGGTGTATTTGAAAACTTTGTAGCAAGATACTTAAAAACAAGTGTTCTTTTTACGCTTATTGGATGACTGGAAAGTAGAGTCATTATATGACAAGAAATAACAGTAAGACAATTACAGTAGTTTTTATAAGGTGCATCACTGAGGTCTCTGATGGTCCATCTGTGCTTTTATAGTTACAAATGAGAATAGTAACTATTCTATTCATATATTCATTCATTATCATCCTATATATATTCATATAAAGGCTGATAATACAGATTGTTTCTCTATAAATTTGCTTCACACAAATCATTAAGTATTTCACTACATAAACATTAGTAGGAATTGGATATTTATCCTGAAGTACCAGACACTTGTAATATCTAAAGGTGATTGTTACAAAACTAGTTATGAAATTTAGCAACATATTTTTGAAAACCTTTACAGACTTCTATATGTTATTAGAGTCTATGTAAAGCTGAAAACTTCTCTGTCTTGTTTTATTGGTTATGGAGAGTAGGTTACCTATGAGTTACCTTTATGATTGGTACCTTTGGTGATCGTAGTGTTGTCAGAAATAGATAACTAATATTTTATATTGTAATCTAGCATTTGATTAGCTAGTAACTTTGGCAGCTGAGGAAACCAAAGAGGCAGTATTTAATGAAAAGCCTATGTATTTAGCTGTTGACTTGAGATAAAATTCCCAGTGTGCCCTCAGCTGGATCTGTACTTGCGTTACAGTAACAGGGTCCTTTAAAAAAAACGATGACCAGCATTCAACTGTTAGTAGAAATAAGATAGGATAAGTGAATACCTGTTTAACATTATGCCTTGTATTAGCAATGTCTTTAGAAATTATCATTTAACATTTTTCATGTGTATGTCTTTTCCCTATTTTACTTCTATTGAATGTATGGGGTATACAATATTCAATACTAATGCATAAATGATTTGCACATAGTAAAGCCAAGTTGATAATATCTGACTTGATAATATACTTTGAAATAAGTACACATCAACTTAATTTTGCAAGTGTTGAGATTAACAACAACAAAAAAAATCATAGGGGAGTCTAGTTCAATTTGGATTAGAACTCTGGAATTTCTTGCTCCCAGTTTCATAACCAGACCATGAAAATGCTTTCCCTAGAGGAGCCTTTAATTCACTACAGGAAAACTTTTCATTGCCTTAATTGTCATATGAGTATCTGTGGCATAAAAGAAGCAAAGACAGGCAGACAGACAAATGGATAGAAATCTGGGGAACTATATAGAGCTATATTTCAGTAGACTGAAAAATCTAGCATTATGTCTGGAAAAGTAATGTCAATGCAAAAATAACAAAATGTGCATTTATTTTTCACAAAGTTTGTGCTTAAATGCATTTCTGATTTGCAATGAAATCAGAAAGCAGTTTAGTGACTTCTACTCATAACGTTTTCTTCTGAATTTTTACTGTGGTATATAACTTATTTTAATTTTGTTTCTGTAATTATTTTATTGATTTTCTTTAACATAAATATTTGTGTTTATTTATGAATATTAATAAATCCATAAATTATAATTTAAAATACATTTCATAAAATATTTTTACGAATGGAACTTTATACAGAAGTTGTCAAAAAACAATAGAATTTTCAATCTTCCATTTTTGGTGGAAATTGAAGTATATAACAATTCTTGTGCTCTGAAATCCAGTAAAATATTCCCTTTTATATGAATATTCACCCTATTACTTGTGTGTAGGAAAATATAGTGCATAAAAATAAAACAGTTATCTGAAATATTAAAACATGAATTACAAAAAATGGGATTAGTCCTGTTTAATAATATTTTTACTTTATTTTAGTGTATAGTATAGAATTTCTCCTGTGTGCATAGACATATGATACAGCCTCAAAATGGCACCATTGTAGTTTAATTTCTTTAATGTTATTATCAGCATCATGAGTAAGTTTTTAGCTATAGTTTTAACATCGGTTTAATGTCAGAAAAGTCAACAGTCACAAAAATGAGAAGGTGTCTTTTTCTGTATTCATTCTCAAGTATACCTCCTTTCCCTTTCTGCATTGCTCAGTGAATCCTAATTGTCTACCCCAAGTTTTAAGGTATTTTCTATATATATGGGCTATTTACAATGATTCTTTATTTATCAAGTTTTTGTGTAGGCTTTGGCACTATAAAAAACCACCCAGAAATTTCAAGCAGTTCATTAATTTTAAATGCTAATCCAACAAGCTCCTACTAGATGCCCTTGTACAATGCAGTTTATGGAACTGTTATTGTCAGAGATATATATTTTCCAACATCAGTTGGAAACTGATCAGTGGAACTTCTATAGATAATATGGTTTCATCACACCTACAAGTACTGGGGGAGCAAAAGACTGAAACCTGATAATAGGAAGGGGCTCAAGGAAGAGCCCTCCTTGTCCCAAAGTCCTCTGAGCATAGAGATGCAGATGAACATAGATCACCTTTGTTTGCTATTAGAACAACCTTGGACATGGTGCAGCTCTTTCAGGGCAGAGGAGGATAATTACTGTAGTTCCAGTTGACAAGGGCTGGGCCTGATAGGTTTTCTGAGCAGTGTGTGCTAAGTTGAGACATTTTCCGTTTAACCCTCTGTAACATTTTCATTTCGCCTTTGACTTCCTCAGGGGTAACAAACCAATTCTTCCCTTTGTGTGCAAGAAGAAAAAATTCAAGGAAGAGAGAACCCCCAAGTATTCTGAATGTTACTCTCCTTTATTAGAAGCTGAAATTTAGTGAACACTCTTTAGAAGTACTGTTACAAATTACGTTTTCCTATTCAATTATATTGAATTTACATTGTAATGACATTAGCTTAATTACATGCAAACTTTCTCTTTAAAGGAAAGTTAAAAACTAGTACTGCAAATCCATTGGTCTAGTTCCATAGAAGTAAAGAACAATAAAGGTGAAAATCTCTTTCTGCCTAGTCAACTTGTATTTTTAAAAAAAATATTCTTCTATCAGGCCATGAATTTACCAAGTAATAGCAGACCTACCGCCTTTGCTGAAGTTTTTTTTTGGATCTGCTACTTCCTGGTTCAATGAACTTCAAAAATTAAATACAAATTAATAGAATTATTTTGGCATAAAATTTTTTATGTAAGATATACCTTTTCAAGCTATAAAAATTAGGAGAAAGTATATAATGCATTGAAAAAAAACCCCACAAAACAAGTGAATATGCTGAGGGCTAGATCACTACATAAAAATTTCTGGAAAAACACACTGAAAGGTTCACAGGAAGTTTCTCTCTGAAGATCCATTTTAGTTTATTGTAAGATAAATGTATGCAAATCAAACTGGCATTTTGAGTTTATCTTAAGATCACCATATTTTGGGAATATCTGCATTTTCAATACTGATTAAGGACAATTCTCTCAGCATGAGCCTATGCATGTAAGTTTTCTTATAATTCAAGGAGAAAAGGTCAGCTCTTAGTGGAGATGACATTTATTAGATTATGTTCAGAGTAAAATCTTACAGCCCAAAACTTGATGAACACTCCTTTAAATGTTAATGTTTGTAAAGGAATAGTAATAACATTTCCATATGGGTTCAATAATATTACAAGAAAACAAAATAGCTGATTAGTACAACTTACAAAAACCTTTTGTTATTTTTTTGAAAAAAAAATAAATTCCAAACCAGAAAGAACATGTTTTGCATATCATAAGGAGGAGAAACTTATGTATTGAAACTAGAGAATATATGGGTGATCATATTCTGTAGAAAATATGTTCTAAAGGACCTAAAATGCAGATAATGTACTTTTAAAATATTTTTTAATTGCTTAACTCTGTATTATCTAAAAACTGTATGATTTTATCTTTTTTTGTTTGTTTATTTTGTTCTATTTTGGTTTTTTTTGCAGTAAATGAGGGAGGTATTAAACAGGCATCCAATTTGTGTCCAGATCCTGGAGAACCAGAAAATGGAAAACGGATAGGCTCAGATTTTAGGTAAAATATAAACCCTACCATTGTATCATTTCTCTAATACTGAACTTGGAAAATGTGTATGTTAAAAAATTATTGCTGTTGTTGAGCTACTCTTTCAAAACTGGACTTATCAGTAAAAACTGAAATGCTATTCTGTATAAAACTATGAAGTTAAATATAGCCTCTAGTTAGTATGCAAAGAAGAGAAAAAACCTACTTGGAAGAGAGCATGCATCATAATCTGGCAAAAAATGGATTGAAGGTAAGTTGAAATAATTTTCTCTTGTAAAAACTGTGTTAGAGTTACAAATATTGAGTATACACGTGGTACTGGAGGCTTTTGTGAAGGACAAAGCAAAACTGAATGCAACCCAAAAAGAACAAGAAAACCTCACAGATGATGTTTCATATATTATTATAGAAATATTCATTGGAATCAAGGGAAATATTGTATTTTATATAGTATATTATTCTGGAATCCAAAAGTTTGATGCATGCAGGTGTATTTCCCTAATAGTACTCAGAGTGTTTTAGCACTCTTAATGCAGACAATTTTTATTAATTTTGATACACACCAAATTGGTACCGTATAGAATTACTGTCTTTAAAAAAATAATTCAGAACAAAAAAGTTGCACTTCGTTTCTAGCAAATTCTGCTTTTTATTCCTTGCTGTCTTTTTCAAGTGTTTCTAAGAAGACTCCAAAGAATCAAAGGATCATACACTTCCAGTGATCTGTTTCACTTTTTTATTTTTTTAATTTAACCTAAACTCAAATTTTAGCCCCCTTTCCTCCTCCATTCTCATGTATCTTTCAAACTCATTATCTTGTAAGGAAAAAAAAATACGTTTGTAATACTCTTTCAAAACATTCCATGTTTTTTTCTCAGTGAACAAATATGACTCCTATTGTCAGTAACAGCAGTGGCTGATGTATTGTATGAGTAGAGACATGTATAAAATCACTTCTTGAAAATGTTTTGAATCAATTTTAATCTCTTATCTATCTGAGTTTCTGAATTGTTTCCTTTTTAATTATTTAACATTCATTTCATCACACACTAAGGATTTGTATTTTTTATTGTAAAATGCTAGTCTTGGTAATGTGCACACTTGTCTCTTGCACACATGTGCAATTATTTCTACAAAATCACTGTGGAGTTGTGTAAATAATGCTCTATGACTTTTTCTGCAAGGTTTCATCACATATTTTTAATACCAAAACATAAAGCTTTATTACTATCCATTTTAAGGGTGATAGAAGCAATGTTACTCTTCCAAATTCCCCAAATTCCCCTTACAAAATACTCGTGACTACAAAATGCAATATCACTATATAAGAGGTTTTCAAAATATTAATTTTTAGTTTACTTGACTCTTCTTAGAATTTCTTCAGTAACATCTCTGCATTAATCTTTTTGGTTTATTCTTTCTTAATTGGAGGGCAAAAGAGTATTTCTCAATTTTGATTCATTTTTGGCACAAGCATGAGGTAACACACTAAACACAGATCTATGATTCTTCCTCACCAGTATTACATAAGGTAATGTAAGGATAAATAATAATATTTATTATGTATTATGTAAGGATAAATAATAAATAAGGATAAAAAGGTAATGTAACGATAAATAATAACACAAGATTTTAATTCAGAAACATAATGAGCATCATTTAGCAACTGATAAGGTAAAAGGTGTTCTCTGAAGATCTGTGAAACTATAGTTGTCCACAGTGACAGTTTATAGAAATATTTTACAAGTGTGGCAGGCAACCTTTTAAAAACAGCAAGCTGAAATGGTGGAGTGCAAGGTTCAGGTGTCAGAGAAAGGCCTGACATATTGCCTATTTTCAAGAGTAATCAGGATTTGAAACAACAATGCTATTAAAGGAGAAGAGGAATTATCTCAATAATACACATTCGCGTATTGAGCTTTTTAACTTTTTCAAACTGAAAAAAAACCCAAAAAACCCCACAACTCAGAAAACCAGAACAAAATAAACAAACAAAACAAAAGAAGTTTTTCTGGGCTTATTTCCTATTTTGTTCTGTGCCAAGTTTGCAACACCAAATGTCAGCTCCATATGGAAAAGTCCAAAATCTTTTGAAGCCAGCATTATCAGTTCATAAATAATCCCAGCTAAAACCTAGAAAGATTTTTTTAGTATTCTTTTATTTTATTCCATTAATTTGAGAAACATATGCCAGTTAAAGGAGCAAATGTTCATATTTACCTTATAACTATCACTGTCTAGTAGTTACATTCAGAATCCTATTACTAGCAAGAGAAAACATACCAGTTATATAAAAAGTCAAGACTTTACTGCTAGCCTAATTAACAACTTAACCTACTAATCAAAATATAATGTCTATTTATAATCATGCATTCCTAGTCCATATTTATACAGGAAAGTCTTATTAATAATATATCAAATTGTTAAATACAATAAACCTTATTATCATTTAATCCTTTTCTCTGGTATTGTGCTCCCCCTTTCAATGTCCCTCTGGTTGGAAAGTCAAAAGGACCAGACTTCCTCAGGAAGAATCTGGGCTGGGGGACATTTACAGCAAGTCATCTGTATCCTGAGGTCTTCACTGGGAGGAATACAATGTTTATAGTAGAGATTTCTCTCTCGGTTTTGGGATTGAACTTTTGGTTCTTCTTCTAGGTGATCTACTTATATCTCTGTCTCATTGTTTCTTAGCTTCAATTAACATTAATAGCTGTTAAAGGCCTGTCAAACCTTTACTACGTGGAAGTCAGAAGTTAGGTCAGCAGTCACTTGACCTCCAGACGACTGTTAAAAGAGCTAAACCAGCTCTGGCCAAAGCGAGCCCCGAGAGGGCTGAATGCTGTGCAGTGTCAGGCCAGTGCATAGCCTGAAGCCTTTTATTAAAAGCAAAAACCCATATTTACCATATAATGTGTTTGTATTGTTTGTCAGGACCTTCATACTTGAAAGAATGGGAAAATTTTCTGAAACCTATTTGTAAAAAAAGACTTCTTGTTATTGTTTGATTTTAGCTTGGGTGCAACAGTACAGTTCTCCTGCGATGAAGATTATGTGCTACAAGGTTCCAAAAGTATCACCTGTCAGAGGATAGCTGAAGTTTTTGCCGCATGGAGTGATCATAGACCTGTGTGTAAAGGTAAAGAGGAATTCTTACTCTTATGGTAATTTGTTCATTTCACATCTATCTGTTGTTTGATAGCAAATCCAATTAAATGAATATTTTGTAAGTGCCTGAAGTTTTAACCCTAGTGGGACACAAACTTGGGAACTTACAGTATAAAGTTCACTTCATAATGAGCTGAGGAAAATCTATCACATGCTAAATATTAAGACTTGACAAGATGGATTTCAAAATTGTGGTGATTCAATGTACAGCCAGTAGTTCCTGAAGCATCTTCATTACATACTTGCTGAGCCAGTGAGAAAGCCTTGAATTTAGGATTGATAAGGACTGGAGAAGTAAGTCTATACCTGGTTTTGACCCTCACCAAATGGACAAAGGGAAAGAAATACAGAAAAATGCATAAGAAGCACAAAGTCATTCTGCTGAATACATTTGATGTCCAAATACTATGGAAAGATGTATGATGAATACCTGAATCAAGGAATGAAAGTATTAGTGTGTATGTATGTAATATATATATCCGTATATATAATGAGAATATTAGTGTGTACATACACATGCAAATTGGCATAGCAGCAAAGCCTAATATCAAAGAGTACAGTTTGTCCACAAAGAACACTTGGGTATGGGAAACAGGAGGGACAGTTATCTTCTAATTCAAGGCCATGGATACTTACCCTAATATCCAGAGAGAACTGTGAGATGTTTCTGAACAGTGAAAGAGGGCAAGAAAATCCGAGGGTGGTATCCAGATGATGTGCAGTAGGAATCCATAAAAGCTGAAAAATTACATAGTGATTTTTGTTTGTTGGGGGGTTTTTTTGTGGCTAAAATACCAGAACAGTCTAAATGGAACTCGCTATGGATAAGAATGAAGTGCTAGATGTAGGTTGGAATAATCAGCTACCCAAATCTGAGTTCAGAAAAACATAATAGGTGTTACAGCTGCAGAAATAGGTTTACAATGAAACACAGCAGTATATGCTTCAATAATAGCATATCACATAAACAAATAAAAAGTTTAGTTGTGTACCTACAAATATACATAATATTAACATTCTGTATCCTACTACTATGTACTATATTTATGTATAATTACTAGAAATTCCTAAAGAGAATTTTCTGTATTTTTGAAAGGAAGGAACACCCAGATTTCGAAACTAAATCATGAAAAAAAATCATCATTAAGATCACATATAAGGATAGGATTTATATATATCTTGTATCCCATGATCAAATAACATTCTTGGCTTTCGTATCCCACATAAATGGTAACTGCACCTCAAATCTTTCTATCCTGTGTGTTATGTATTTGATAATAAAGTTTAGTAATCTGTCATTGAAAAGTCATTTTAAAAGGAAAGCATACTGCATTAGCATTTTACTTATCAATACCAAAATACAACTACACACTGCATACTCTGGTGTTTTTTTAAAAAAGTATCCCTCCTAATAGACAAGGAAGTGTTATCAGCTGTACTGTGATAGGACCAAGATGTATCCATAGCTAATTGTAAGTTTAGAAAGGCAGGTCAGTAACATTTGGGGACAATGGCCTTCAAGCATTACTTTTGTGTAAGTTTTCAATTCTGAACAGCAGCAGGTATCAAAGTACTTAAGTATAAAAGGGAAACATATTGTTCAGTCCATTTTTTAATTTTTTTCCCAGTATGACTATATTTAGAACTACCATGGTGTAATGATTTACAAATCACACTTGTAAACATGTGTCTAATGATAAAGTAAACATTAATACTGAACAGGAAAGAAAAAGAAAGTAATAAATCCATTGGAAGCTAGCAGTTCTGTTAAAATTGTATCTAAATGTGAAACTGCAGAATGTGTATTAAATAGATTTCCAAATGCACCATTATTCATAGGTAGAACATGTCATTCACAACCAAAAGGACAGTGTTTCACTTCTTTACAGTCATCAACTTCATAGTACTAGCACATTCCACCTTAAAACGCAGAGTAACAATATTAAGAAAGTTATTAGCAATTGAAACAATGCCATATGGTGAAAAACCAGACAGATGGTATAGATATTATATTAAATGCTTTTGAGTGTCATTAGTCACATTAAAATTACTGATTCAAGTACCTTTGGTGAGCTATAATTTTGGTTCTTTTGATTAGCAAGACGTTTCAACTCAACTCTTAGATATACTAAGGCTGGCATACAAGCATTTCTTCTAGAATAATAATGATGTCTTCTCTAAGTTTCATGCATAGAACATACAACAAACGTTTTGAAAGAATTTTGCATAAGTAGTATAAAGATCATGGAGTAACATGAAGAAAATATCTGCAAAAATATGTGTGCATCTGCTTGTTGAACTTGCATGTTTGTGTACAATTCATTTGGGCAAACAAATTAGGCAATCATGCATAAATGTTATTTTATGCAAGAAATTAATATTTTCTTGTGAACCGATGAAGCTTTGCAGATAATGAGGGCACAGGTGGTATATTAAATACTTCACTTCTTATTCTTTCAAATGCCACTTAAAGTTCTGCCTTTTATCATGTAGTGTTTGATATTTGAATGGTACAGCTTGCAAATGTTTTCAGTCACTTATATAAATGATATTGTGCACATACCAAAAATCCCACAGTAGCAATACATTTTTCAAAAAATGGCATGTGAATTACCAACAATTAGTTACATTAATAGACCGCAATTGGGCAAAGTTCTAAACAGGAACTTTCCAGTTCTGTTAGATGCATTTGATTTGACATCATAAATCCTCAGGACTCATAAGGCATATGAGTGGCTGAGTATAACTGCTTGCCAAAAATGAAAGATTAACTCTCTTTAGGAGTTATCATATAATACCAGCTGGAACTGACATAAGATCATATTAATGAAAGTGAATCTGGAATAAGTCTGAAGCATTTCTACAGGAGAAATATAACAGGACTTTCAGAAGGTAAACTGATGCATCCATTCCAAAATATAAGCAAATATTATAAGTTATCAACATCTTTTAGACCTTCAGACTAGTTTCCAGGAAAATGCTGCTCTGTAGGTTTGGCTGATTTCTGAACCTTTTGACTTCTAGAAGACTATGAGAAAATTGTAAAGTGATATTAGATACCCTCAATAGAATTGCAGTTGGATTGCCTTGTAGTTTATCAACACTTATCCTTTCTTTTTAATATTTTTTTTTAAATTTTAATATAATTTATGTATTTGATAACCCAAGCAAAATAGCAGTTGCTCAGATAGATGAACGTGGTGAAGAAATATGGCAGAAAATCAAGGCATTTGCCCCATTGTGACTTACAGACCAGTTATATTGAAAAGAAGAATATAGAACTATTAGGAAAGTAGGGCTTCAATTTGAAAGCAAGTAGATAAAGTAACAAAAGCAGCAGCTGAAAATTAACTGGTCAGTTTCTGAATTTTATTGAAATTTTAAAGTGGATTCATCCTCTCAGACACTTGTTTTTTTAGCTTGACTTTTTCAAGATCAATGTATCATGCAAGCCTAAAATTCTAGCGGGGATTTCTAAATTCATTCCAATTTAATTGGCCTCATGCAAATCTTGTAGCATACCATTCTTACAGGACAGCAGAACAAACAGTGTCTTCCCATCCTTCCTGAGAAAGAAAAAAAAAAAAATTCAAACGATGACGTAAGAATGTTTGCCCAGGCATTTGTTTCACACTGAGTTACAGTTCAAGTCTGCTATTTGAAAGATAAACATTTCTGCAGTTGTTACTTTTTTCATATCCCAAGAAATGCTTAATATATGTGGCTGTAATGACATGAGTGCTTACATTGATGTCTCTGTGACTTCATTCAAGATTTAAAGTTTAAACACTTCAGATTGGAGACCCTACTTACTTGCCTTCCACGGGATTCAGTATTCCCCGATGGGGCAATGCCATCATTGCAAAGCCAACTTGCTTAACCAGAGACAATCATCTACTCTATGAAACTATTTGCCAGTTGATAAATCTCTTCCTCTCATTTACGTTTCAGGAAATGAAACAGATAGATCTATTCACAGTTGGTCGATTAGCCTTTTTATGTTCATGCCTGCCGCTCCTGCTTTCTGCTTGCTTGTTTCTCAGACCCTGTGAGACATCTCTGAATGCTGCCTTTTGTGGGTCTGCTGGCAACTCTGCAACAAGTTCTGCAACAAGTACAGTATTTTGGAAAGGCTCGTCTGATGTGTAGGGGAAAAAAAAAGTGTTTTTGAAATAATTCTTTGTATCTGAGAAAACTAAAGGAGAGACACAATTTATGGTTTAAATCACAATCATCCAATTAAGAGGCAGGCTATAAAGTAATTTGGATTATTAGTAGAAAAAGGTAAAATGACATTATGTATTTGAATTGGATTCTGAAAAATTTAGAACACGGGTTTTTTTGCTTCATATTGCTATTTTGTTCAGTTCATTTCACTGACTAAAGTGATTTTTTAAAACAACAATGAATTCATGGACTCAGTATCTTTCACTTTGTAGACTGCAAACATTAGTTTGATTAACATGGATATGCAAGCAGAATGTGTATTTTGAATTTTAGATATTGCCTTGGTAAATACTTTTACTCACCTATAGTACAGTTTTAAAAAAATCCACCTTGGCCTCGCTAACCCCTGAAACGCAGACGTGTGTCTGAGCCTCTTAAGAGACCTCGCGGGGAGCGACAGCGCCGAGCGCGGCC